CTCACAATTAAAAATGTAGATTTTTTGTTATAGATTTTATTAGATTAAATGTTAGGTCAACCATTAAAGAAGTTTGATATTACGACATTATATAAGAATTCAACTCATTTTCACCGGTTGATGAAGAACCGCTTGCTAATACAAATACAGATTGGATACGTATAAATTTTAAAATTACGTAACAGGAATAAATAAAGTGATATCATTAGAAGGTAGTGAGCAAAAATATATCTTAAAACATTTTTCTTTTTCAATTAATTCTAATTTTACACCCAAAGAAAAATAAAACAGAGAAAAGGAAGAAAGAGATAAAAGGTTTTTTTTCCCTAGATTATTTTCCAAGAAATCAGACACAGACTACGAGGCTCTCTGCTTTTTCTTTTCACATTTTCTTCACATTTGTCCTCTTGAGACGCTCAGTTTCTATTTTTTTTCTTTCTGATTTTTATTTTTGTTTGTGTGTGGGGGAGTCGGCTTATGCATTCATTGCCTTCAATCCGTCGGGGTTTGAAGTTATCCGTTAATGGCTTCTCATTGATGGCCCCCAACTACTCCAACAGGTTGCCTCTGCGCACTCCTGCTGCTGCTGCTGCTGCTGCTCTCTTCCTTCCCTTCCTTCCATGAAAGCAACTACTCTCCTCCCCTGAGTAGCTATCTTGCAAGTTTTTAGTTTTCCCCGACTGGGTTTTCCTTTACTGCAAAACCCACATTTGCTTTTGAGGTTTGGGGTTTAAAGTGAGGGGTTTTCTTTGTGTTTTTACAGATTTTATTGAAAATTTGGGCTGTTTATGCTTCCAGTGGAATGGGTTCTCTTTCCTTTTAGGAAGTCTTGTTTGGTTACTGAGTAAATGAGCGTTCTTTTGTGAACTGGGTGCCCAAATTTTCCGTCAAAAAATGGGTGCGACGAACTCCAAAACCGAGAAGGACGAAGCTCTGCGTCTGTGCAGAGAGCGTAAAAGATTGATCAAGCAAGCAATTGATTCAAGGTATGCTTTAGCAGCTTCTCATGTATCTTACACCAACTCTCTAAGAAACATTGGCATTGCCCTCCGCCGCTACGCCGAGGCTGAGGTGTTGATAGAGTCTTCTCTCTCCAACTCCGACAAGACCCCATCGCACTCCTCCTACCCCTCGCCCTCGCCGTCGCCTTTGGCCGACGCTTCGGACTCGCCTTTGTGCAACGAGAGACCCGCTTCGCCTCCTGTGGCAAGGTTGAGCTATATGAGGTCGGGAGGTGCTGCTGCTGTGACGGTAAGGTTCAATCCGGTTAGCAGTAGTTACGTGGATGAGGATATTCCACTGCCGCCGCCGCCTCCTCCTCTGCCGGATGAAGATTCTTCCTGGGATTACTTTGATCCTGTGGATGAAAGTGAGAGCTTCAGGTTTGTGGGAAGTAGTGGAGTGGATGTGAATTTTGATAATATCAAAGGGTGGAGACAGGGGAGGAATGAAGAAGCTAGTCATAGTGTGGAGGAGATGGGAAGATGGGCAAAGGTTGGATTAGATGGAAGTAAGGAACATTTTGAAGTTTCTGGTAATTCAATGAACCAAAACGATAGTAGTGTAGATGATAACGCGAATTCGCTAAACTCGGGAGTTGATGGGTCTCTGCAAACAGGCAATGGTGAAGGGAGACAGTTAGTTGTGGGATGCAATGCCAATGGTGGAGCTACAAGTTTGACAGGCAAAGTCGGTGTTGAGAAGTCTGGTTCAAAGAGGGAGAAGAATGTGGGGGAGAAGGATTTATGTGCAGAAAGAGAGGACCCTTCAGAGTTTATTACTCACAGAGCTAAAGATTTTCTTTCAAGCATAAAGGATATCGAGCACCGCTTTTTTAGGGCTGCAGAATCGGGAAGAGGGGTCTCCAGGATGCTTGAGTCAAACAAAATAAGGGTTGGATATTCGGGGGCAAAAGGTAAACTTTATATATTGGTTGGTGAATTAAATTTGAAGCACCTACTTGTGCAATTGATAATTTTAGTTGTCTGATGTTTTTTTTCCTTCTTGTTTTCATAAACTGTTTATGACATTTCAAGTTTTGGATTGTAGGTACATCATCTGCTTTGGCTTTTCTCGTGGCTTTCCAGCTCGTTTTCTGCCCGGGAAAGACTGCACTTGTTTATCATGGTAAGTTGTTGCAATTGGTAAATCACAAGCTAATTACAAGTCCAGTAAGTACTCAGAAATTTGGGGTTGGAAATGAATACATCTTTAACAATTGCAAGAATTTCCATATGCCTATGCCCACTTACTCATCACTTTTTGGTTTTGATGAATCCTAGTAATCCTTTGATCAGTCAAACGTCATTTATGTTACGGCTAGGAGTTGTATCTCTGGCATACAGATCAGATAAACACACTTCATCCGTTTAATTGTGTGATATGTGTATTCTGCAGGAAAGCATGCGAATTTGTTGTGTGGCATTAATTGTGGAATAAGCTGGTTCACTTTAAGTTACATGTCGTTTGCATAAGATGAAGCCAAACAAATGAAGCCTTATTCAAACTACCCTTATTTTATTTAACTTAGGACCACTTTTTTTCAGAATGATTAGAATCTCCTTTGTGTTTTCCTACCATAATATGTGATCAAAATGTTTTGTAGATCCTACTCAACATGGAACCAAAATTATTACTTGGAAGCGGTCAACATCTTCGAGGTCATCTTCATCAAGGAATCCTCTTCCCACAATAACAAAAGAGGATGCCGATGACAGTGGCAGTGATTTTATTGAAGAGTTTTGCATGATTGCCGGAAGTCATTCCTCCACTCTGGAGAGACTATATGCCTGGGAAAGAAAACTCTATGACGAAGTAAAGGTACTTTATTGAAGCCTATGCATTTTTTCTTTATTGTAAAGATTTATGTTCTTATTGTATCTATTGTAGCATCCTTTTAGACTTACTTCCTTGTGATCTGCTTACCCTGATTCAACACATAAATGTGAGGATATAAAAAACTTCATTTACATTACCCCCTCATACCTTGCATTTTAGCCTTCAATTCCACATTTTGATATTTTTAAAAAGTCAGAAACTTTTCCCTATAAATGAGTGATTTGCATGTGTTTTCCTCTTTTCTGTGTTATCAGTCCATTTTCCAATAATCTTGTAATCTTGTAATCCGGTATTTGTTGAGATAGTTTAAGCATCAGTTAATCTGCTTATGTACCTTTAAATGCTCATGAATTTGATCTATAACCTTGTAGTCATAGAACCATGAAATTTGATCTGCAAGCTTCTGGTCATAGGGATATGGAGTAGGTATTGCTGGAAACATCAATTTTTAATGGTATCTTGTGAATCGTGTTTCTCTCTAACATGAAATACAGGAGAAAAGATAAATATAAAGAGTTTTTTCTCTGTCCAGATTGATTGTATATCATGCTTTTCGTTTTATAGTTTTTTTGTATAATCGTCTCCTCATTTCTATTTTGGTTCTTGTAGGCAAGTGAATCTATCAGGAAGGTGTATGACCGGAAATGTGATCAACTTAGGAATCAATTTGCAGAGGATTGTAGCAGTCAAGTTATTGATAAAACCCGGGCGATTGTGAAGGATCTACATTCACGAATAAGAGTGGCAATTCATGCTGTTGATTCAATATCAAAGCGGATTGAGAAAATGAGAGACGAAGAATTGCATCCACAACTTTTAGAACTTACTCAGGGGTAAGTAGAATCCTTGTGTTCTCATTAGTAGGATCCGCTTGGTTATTTTCCGTCTTGAAATTCATATTATTTGTATCAAAACATCACTAATCTTGGGTAGATGAACGGTGATTTTATGTAGATTGACAAGAATGTGGAAGGCCATGCTTGAATGCCATCATGCGCAATATATAACCATCTCACTCGCATATCATTCAAAGAGCTCAACAGTGACTTCCCAAGGAGATTCCCGCAGGCAGATCATGGCTCAACTTTTGGATGAGATTGAGTGTTTCGGCTTAAGCTTTGCAAATTGGATCAACAGCCATTCAACATATGTGGAAGCTCTCAATGGTTGGCTGCAAAACTGCATCATGCAACCACGGGAGCGTACCAAAAGCAGAAGGCCATTTTCCCCTCGTCGAGTTGTGGCCCCACCTATATTTGTTCTCTTTCGAGATTGGGGAGCTGGGATCAGAGCATTGCCTTCCAATGAACTTACAGATGCAATCAGGACCTTCTTATCAGATCTGCGTCATTTGATGGAACAAGAAGCAGTTGCACAGAAAAACCAGGGGACAGCTGATGCAAACAACGGAGAAGCAGAGAACAAAGCGGAAGAGAACGGCAAAGAATCATCTCCAAGCCTGAGCTGCATACATACAAGCTTGAGAAAGGTTCTCGATAGACTAACTAAATTTTCGGAGGCATCATTAAAGATGTATGAAGATATCAGACAGAAAAGTGAAGCAGCTCGAATTGCATATCTCAACTGCAGGCCTGTTAGATACTGAGTTTATGTAATTAAACATATATTCATCTCTTAAATTTGTGACTGGACTGGATATAGGTTTGTAAAGAGCAAGTTTTTGGTGTTTTTGGGCAGTGCGTTCAATTTTACAACTGAATTAGGATGAGTTTTCTGCCAATATTTTGAACGTTTTTCTCCGCGATTGGTTTTATTATTATACACTTAATCGCGACTCTCGATTATACTTTGATATTTTGGAGTCCCGTTCTCCTAATCACCAGGTGACCTAAGAATTCATCGTCACTCATCCTTGCAAATCGAAGGGTGATATTTAAACACTAAAAGCACAATGACTCATTCTTTACCCTTGATATCAACTCTTAAGAGAACATGAATTTCTTGGTCACTAGATGATCAAGAGAACAATACTGTCATTTTTGACCTCCTTATGGGGTGTCAAAAACCACAGCCAAAACCGAAGAAGCCCAAAGAAGGAAAAACTGTTGAGTGACCATGAGTGAGTGACCATGCACCTCTTGATAAAGTTAATACAGACGTATGCAATTTACGATTTACAGGGTATATTTAGCACACAGAAGCATATCAAGCACGAATTGCATTTCTAATAAGAATTGCCGTTTGATAGTTTTACAACAGAACATGATATAGTCCTGCACTGTGAGACCTATATCCACCTTTTCCCTACGAACTCTCACCGATCAATTATTGTAAAAGGTCGTACCCAGTGCACAAGGCTCCCACTTTACGCAGGGTCTGGGAGAGGTGAATGTCGGCTAGCCTTTCACCAATCATCATTCCTATGTTAAGCCAATTTGGCATTGACAATTATGCAAACATATATTTCCTGCTTTCTTTTGCTCAAAAAGGAAAGAAGTTCAGTGGGAATTAAAATCCGACGTAGTGTGTGTAGTGTGAGTAGGCATCCGACTGCATTGCAATTGGGGCTCTTGTGACATAATCTGGAATGTCAAATGTGTCTACAAGTTCCCTTGCTATATTTCTCACCTGGAAACTCAGGTACTCCATCAGTTTGTGAATTGCCTACGCAAACAGAAACGAGAATTCAGTCTAATTTGAATTTTTAGGGCATTTCTTCAAAGCCATGCCGGATGCATTTTATGTTTACTTCTATCGTATTCAGGCTTAAACACAGTTTCCATAATCCTGAGTCGTAGTGATTGCATAAAAAGCAGAATTATTCTTTTCATGATTCATAGGAATATTAGTCGAGGTAAGATTTGAATACCTTAGCTTTGTTTGGTGCAACATAATCAACATTACGATAGGTTCCTATGTCTTTCCAAATGCGCTCCAATGCATAAAGATCACAGACGAGTTTCAGAGCAGCTCGAGAACTTGGATCCGGACATCTGGCACAAAACCCATTTTAAAAACTCAAAATCGTAACGGAAAGGAACTAATGTGAGTAACAGAGATTAAGAATTACTTCTGGACAGCTTCAACAAACTTGGCAAGGATGACTGACTCAATATGGGACTCCGCCAGAGTCAAAAGGTGATTTAAGCATTGATTCCATGCACCAAAACTGCCAAGAGTTTTGGAATGCTTGCGCAGTCTTACTGCAACACTTTGAAGTAATCGAGAAGTTCGGTACTGCAGGAGGAAAGTTATGTGACAAAGAGTTTCAGTCTTGTTATATACACTAAGAGAGGATTTTGATCATAAAACCAAGTAAAAACTCACTCTGAAAGCATCCAACTGGAACTTAGGATCTCGCAAATGGTCTTCGCTTTCCCATCGAGCAGTCACTGGATTTGGCTGAGATAGATACGAGTTCATGGACTCTCTGAGGTAGTTCCATGTGACAGTGAGTGTCCCGCCTTGAAATTTCTCCTTATATTGCTTCAACAGATCACCCGCAACCTGTGTCACCAGTAAAACTCAGAGTAGAAAATTGCCTGTAACAATTTTTTTTGGCAAATCTATTTCATTTCTTGTTGTGTACCCATAATTGCTCTATCCTACGAAAAATTCTAGATCATGAAAGAAAATAAAATATTCCCAGGTAGAGAATGTGATTTGTTTGAAACCTGTTGTAGAAGCACTGTATTGTCCCCTTCAAACGTCTGAAAAATGTCATGGTCATTTCTCAGGCTACCGAAGCGGTTGACAGCAGCATACCCATGGCCTCCACAAGATTCCCTGCAGATACTTAATGACTTTGCCGTATATGCTGTCACATAAGCCTTGAGCCCTGCTGAAAGCGAATGGACGTCACCAACCAATTGTTCATCATGAGACTTTTTCATCTCTGAATATTTCTCCACCAAATGCAACGTGGCAAAATGGAATGCATAAGTTGAAGCCAGCATGGGCATTAACTTGTGTTGTTGAGACTGATAATCAAGAATACTAACTTCAGGTTGCTTGGGAGGACCAAACTGCTGGCGCAGTAGAGAATATCGGATTGCAATTGTGGCAGCGATCTTGAGGACACTAACTGAAGAATATGCAAGACCGACCCTCCCACCTACAAGTTCACCTAGAGTGGCAGCAAATCTTTTATTTATAGATGGTAAACTACTTGTGTATTTCCCGTCCCGGGAGACATCTCCAAACCGATTAAGAAGATTATCACGAGGGATTCTCACTGAGCAGAATCTTAATGCTCCATTGTCTACCCCATTCAGACCAACCTTGTGGCCACAATCATGTATCTCAATTCCTGGAAGAGTTTGGTGGGTCTTGAAATCCCTTATTGGCACAATGAAGGCATGGACACCCATATCAGTAATACCTTTTGTGTCATGAGTCGGCAACATCAGCTTAGCGAAAACAGTAGCAAACTTTCCATGAACGGCAGCATTGCCAATCCACCATTTGATGGCCCCATCATTGGGTGTGTCGATTATAAAATCATCTGTGAGTGGATCAAAGGTTGCCTCGGTTTGTAGACCTTGAACATTTGATCCTTATGCACAGGGAAAAGAAATAATGAATAAGGTTTAGATATGAATTCTGGATTTAGTAATACAACAGTGCCTAAGAAATAAAGAGCATAAAATGAAAAACAACTAAGAAATCTGAATCAAAAGATGATAGAGAACCACAACGAACCAGTCTCTTCAAAAAACTTTAAATGGATAACCATCACCAGTAAATCAAAGATTCAAAGGTGGATGTTAGTCGTTACAAATGTTTCAGCACCCTGTCTATATCAACTCCAACACTCCAAACAAAGTAACGAACAAGTTGTCAAGATAAATCTTGGAGAACTATCTTCATAATCATGCACACTAAAACTTTTTTCTCATTGGATGCTTTATGGAACGTGATTTGACCTTCTCACCATAATACTATTCATTAAGAATTAAAATCTGGGCTTTCACGAAAACAAAAACTGTAAAAGGTAGATGCTTTTTAAATGCATATGTGTATGTGGCGCACACCAATTTTTCCACAGAACCACGCAATGAATGTATGGATAAACTTAAAATGTCCCAGCATTACATATCATCATAAAAGAATGGTAGTAGCAAAACAGCTCACCATGATGTAGTTCAGTCATAGCAAAACAACCTGGATACTCCATATTGTCGATACCATCAAAATACTTATCCTTGTGCTTTTTGGTTCCTAAGTTAAGTACAGAACCTCCCCAAAGACTGCACAAGTAATAAAAAAAAATCAGTGCAGAACGAAACATATATTGTACAGCTAGTGCAATTAAGCATTACACTATGTTTCTGGCACACGAACATTGGAAAGCAGAGGTCCCTTAACAAGTTTAAGAGCCATGTAATTACATTATTTGAATCCAAGCACCAAATATCAGCAATAAAGCATGTGATCCTTGAACAATGATGAACTCTGCAGAACCTCCACTTTAATGGAAACTTCTACCTTCTACAATGCATTGCAATTACAATAGAATTTCTACCTTCCAATTTTTCCATAACCTTCCCATCTCAGAACATTCAATTGCACAACAAAACATGGATTCTATTACAAGTTTCTCATCACATGAAAACTATCTGGATGGTCTCAAACTGTTCATAAAATTTATTTTTCTGTTATAGTCCCAATCTTGATGCAGTCCACTATTAACTTATATTTTAAACACCCTCCCACAGAAAGGGCATCCAGATGTGAACTATTTGTAATTAAATAGGGAAAGACACATCAGAAGGAAAATTTGAGCACTAGATTTCCTCTCCCTAGCATAAAAATTTTTGCCGGGCAATCACGGCTCCCAAATTATAAGATTTTGAGTGTGGTACAACACTCGGTTTTTGTCCAACAGTTTTGTTCATAGACATGGCACAGCACTTGAAAATAACACGCTAACTCATCCAACTCCAATTCATTGATCGAGATCCTTGTTTCCCTCCTTTTGTTGCAATCAACAATTTAAAGGGATTTTCACATTTGGGATTTGGGCACAAGCTATTAACTAAACACAACACCAAACAAAGGCCAATGAAGGGGATTGCCGATCATACAAATTCGGTGCCCTTTATACTCAAAATTTTCATGAACTGCATCTGTCAGTGGTGTGTATAAAATTGTAACAGCACACCGAAACATCAACATCTACAGCAATAATTCTTTATCTATTTACATTATCTATTACATCTCTATGGACATGTCTTTCCACCGCAGTGCTAATGCGTCTGATGCGCATATTTTAGGCCTATCTTATGGAGCAGTAAAAAATTTAGTGCAATAGCAATCAATCCGAAAACAATTACAATACAGAGAGTGCGATAAACACATACACCATAAATAATCTACCAAGAAGGAAACCTATTCGAGGAGTTAGATGACTTCGCCAAATCGAACAATAAAACACAAAGAATCATGCTCAGCATAAATCTTATCACTCAAATAATCAAAAATCACAAAACCCACGTCAAAAACACCCTCATTCTCCCAATTGGTTTTACGGTAGAACCTCAGCTTCTTCAAAATTCCCACCCAAACTTAAAACACAAAGCGATCAGCACCCGAAAAATGCCACAAAAATCAATGAAATAAGATTAGAGCAGTACTTGTAGTAATAATCACCTGTACTGCACCCCCATCTTAATCCCGAGAGACATGTCGACGCTGCCAACGGCCTCCAAAATAGCAAAGTACTTGGCCGGGTCATCGACGACGTACCGGAAAGGCCTGATCCCAGCCTCTTTCACCAACCCCACAAGCTGCTTCATGCAAAGCTCCCGGTGGTCGTCCTTCAAAATCTCCACCGGCGTCTGAAGCTCCGGCTGCTTGTTGAAGTAATCCAACACTCTGTCCTGGATTTCCCGGTGCTTGCCTCTCATGTAGTTTGAGAGGCTGCTCGTGTCAACCGTCAGCTTCGCCGCCTTGGAAGCGCACTCCACCAGCTCAAGCTGCTGAGCTGCGTAGTTTCGGGGAAGTGGGTACTTGGGGGTCAGGTGCAGGGACAACCGCTGGATGCGGCGGCTGACGGCCTGGGATTCGTCCTCCGCCGTTGGATCTGGGCTTTGCATCTTCTTTTGATTGATCTCGGAGACGGAGAGATTAGGAGGAGGTTGGGTGGTTTCGTGGGGAAGAAAGAATTGAACAATTGGAATTGGGAAGATCTTCTGGTTCGGTTAATTATACGGCAGTGGGTGATGACGTGGAGAAAGATGATTGGTGAGGGAAGTTGGCAGTTGGTCTTGGCGCGCATTTCAATGTCACGGCGGGTTGATGTGATGTAACATCATGGGTTTTTGGGATTATATTTGTTGTCCTGATGTATCGTTAAGTTAATGAATGATTTATTACTTGAATGCGTTTGTTTTTATTTGTAGCATATCATTTTGTTTATAAATTTGGGCTCGAACTTGAGTTTGGAGTTTGGGGTGTGATATTATATGAGTAATATAGGGTTATTTTATTAGCATCGCACATACCTAAAAACACATCACATATTTAAAACATCTCACACTTACTTTTTAAACAAAAAAAATTATCTTAATACATCCCCTTTATTGACCGAAAATACCTTCACACCCCGCACCAAAATCTACCTCAAGTCTTCATCTTGTCCAAAACAAAATTTTTAAGCCTTTGTCTTCAGCACAAACACAGTGCGCATGATTCTAGTATTTCAAGGTTTTTGTCAATTTAGGGGTGTTGATGCACAAAATTAACGAAGACTTTGGTACAACAGAAAGTGTTAAGTTTGTGACATTCGCTAGATTGCTTTGGTCACTAGTGTGGATAAGTATGTAAATGGATAGGGACAGGGAAGCAAGCACAAGATGTACGTGGTTCACTCAGATTGGCTACGTCCACAGAGTAGAGGAGTTCTCATTAATTGTGAAGGGTTTACACAAGTACATAGGTTCAAACTCTCCTTATAGTGAGTACTAGTGAATGATTTAGTACAAATGACATTAGGAAATATTGTGAGAGAATGATCTCTATTTATAAAAGAGAGTTTCTAGTTTCATTCTGACATTGACACGTGTCGTGTTGTGATTGGCTTCTGATGTTGACATGTGTCACGCTATGATTGGCTTCTGATGTCGACACGTGTCGCGCTGTGATTGGCCTCCTGGTTGGAGGGAAACTCTTCTAGGTCCTTAACAGTATAACGTTGACCGGTGCTCAGTAGTTTCGGGATTGGTCAAGTATAGTACAAATAGTGCTTCCCTAAGTTCCCAAGTGAGGGAAGCTCCTCGGTTGGGGACTTGCAAGATCCAAGCCATTGAGTAATTACGAAACTTCTAAGTACCAAAGTGTGGTATCATTTTCACTTGCCTTATGTGTCTCATACATAGATGACATCTTCTCTGGAAGTACTTTTCCTCCATCCAGGGGTGGTATCTTTAACCGATGAAGATGCACAAGGTAATGTATCAATTTCACTTGAAGCTTACTTGTAGTTTCGGGCTTGGTCAAGTGCAATACAAAACCCTATAGTAGGAGTCCCCCAAGTTGCCGAGCTAGGAGATTTGCTAAAAGAGGTAACATACAAGGTAAGCAATCAGACTTCCAAGCAAGCAACCTGGATCGGAGGTTCGACTTCGGCTTCCGGTTGATTGTTCTCATTCTCCTTGTGTCGTAAACAGCAACAAGGATAAGGAGAAGCAAATGGAGAAGAGATGATATGAGATACTTTTGCTTTTGAAGAAGTAACTTTCCACAGGCTTATTCTTGAACTGGGCTGGAGGGTTTTCTGGTTTCCTCCAGAGTATAAGGTTGACTCAAGAATTTGAGGGTTAAAACAAGTCCATCAAATGAATAGTGTGTTCGACCTTGATGATATGGGATACTTTTGCTGTTGACGAAGTAATAGATGAATCGGCATGTGTTCAGTTACGCTTGTCTCCACATGCTTCCTTGTATCATTCTCACTTGCCCTATCCGTTCCTCAGGCAGATGTGGTGTCTTTTCTGAAAGCATAAGATGTTGAAGATGAGTACTCGAAAGTAATGCCAGGTAAGTAATCAGGCAAGGGGTTCCAGGCAGTCAATTCCTGACTGGAAGCTTGATTCCAAGTGCTGACTGATTGCTCTTTTTCTCTTTGTCTTGCAGGTACGAACAAGGGCAAAGGAAAAGACAGGGAAAAAGCATGATATGAGATACTCTTGCTTTTGACCTTGATGATATGAGATATTCTTGCTCTGGTGTGGCTAGTTTGCATAGGTATTATTGGGGGGGGGGGAAGAAAGCTGAGTATTTCGAGAGGCTTCATTGGGAGTGCCTTCTCAGATATGAGGAAGGGTTGAGCATTTTTGCAGGTCTGCTTGTCCGTGGAGGATGGAGGTTGACAAATATAGGAGTCTCCTTAACAACAAGTAGTAATATTATTCCTTTACTCTTCTTGGTCGTAGCAATGTAGTGGGAGCTGCAAGCTTCACGTGTTTTAACTTTGTCAGAGCACTTTGAAAAAGTGGTATGTGGTATCTAGAAAGCTGATGTTGCGTGTGAAGATTGCAAACAAGCTTTATCCAAGGAAATGTGGCTCTCGAAGTTCGGAAAGCGATGCCTCTTTGGTTTTCGAACAAGCAATCATGTCGGGGATCTGGCTCTCGAGATTCGGAGAGTGGTGCATTTTCGATTTTTGAGAAAGCAATCCTGTTGGGAGTCTGGCTCTTGAGATTCGGATAGCGGTGCCTCTTCGATTTTTGAGAAAGTAATCTTGTTGGGAGTCTGGCTTTCAAGATTCGGAGGGCGGTGCCTCTTCGATTTTTGAGCAAGTAATAATGCTATTCCTTTACCCTTCTTGGTTATAGCAATGTAGTGGGAGCTGCAAGCTTCACATGTTTTAACTTTGTCAGAGCGCTTTGAAAAAGTGGTCTGTGGTATCTGGAAAGCTGATGTTGCGTGTGAAGATTGTAGACAAGCTTTATCCAAGGAAATCTGGCTCTCGAAGTTCAGAAAGCGGTGCTTCTTCCGTTTTCGAACAAACAATCTTGTCGGGGATCTGGCTCTCGAGATTCAGAGAACAGTGCCTCTTCGATTTTTGAAAAAGCAATCCTGTTGGGAGTCTGGCTCTTGAGATTCGGAGAACGGTGCCTTTTTTATTTTTGAGAAAGTAATCTTGTTGGGAGTCTGGCTCTTGAGATTCGGAGAGTGGTTCCTTTTCGATTTTTGAGCAAGCAATCTTGTTGGGAGTGTTTCCTCGAATGTGAGTAAAGGTTGGGCATTTTTGCCCGTCTGCCTTGCCAGGAGCACGGAGGTTGACACACATTGGGACTTTCTAGTTATCAAGCAGTGGTGCTGTTCCTTTACCTTTGTGGGTAATAGTAGGGTAGCTGGACCTTCAAAATTTATTTGTCTATACTTTGTTAGAGATCTTTGGCAAAGTTATCTGTGGTACCTGAGGAGCTGATATTGCGTGTGGAAAGTGGTGCCTCTTCGAAATCCGGAGAGTGGTGCCTCTTCGATTTTTGAACCAACAGCCCTGTTGCCCTTTCTTTTATAAGGGCACCAATTGTGTGCAAAGAGTTCATTCAAAGAGTTATTGCTTGTAGGAATTTTCCCCTTACTTCAGAGATTTATTGCACCTCATTTCTCTTTCATCATTTCTGAGAATGTCTGGCCCATCCGACCATCGTTTTTTACTTGAACTTTGGTAGCCATGCCTTCTCAAGACAACATATGGCCACCATTCTTCTTATCCCCTAATGGTCCTCTTAACGTTGGGGACTCTATGATGAAGAATGATATGACCGCTGCGGTGGTGGCCAGGAACCTTCTCACTCCCCAAGATAATATACTACTTTCCAAACGGTCTAATGAGTTGGCTGTTAAGGGTTCTCTGGCTCTCAGTGTTCAGTGTGCAGGTTCTGTGTCTAATATGGCCCAACGCCTATTTGCTCGAACCCGCCAAGTTGAATCATTGGCGGCTGAAGTGATAAGTCTCAAACAGGAGATCAAAGGGCTCAAGCATGAGAATAAACAGTTGTACAGGCTCACACAAGACTATGCTACAAACATTAAGAGGAAGCTCGACCAGCTGCAGGAATCTGATGGTCAGATTTTACTTGATCATCAGAGGTTTGTAGGTTTGTTCTAAAGGTATTTATTGCCTTCATCTTCTGGGGTTGTACCGCGTAATGAAGCTCCAAATGATCAACCTTCAGTGCCTCTTCCTTCTGGGGTTCTACCTAGTACTAAGGCTTCGAATAATCACCCTCTGGTGCCTCCTCTTTCTGGGGCTCTGTCGACTGCTGAGACTTCTCCTGAGTAACCTTTGTGAAGGCTCCCTCTTGTTTATTTATTTTGATTCATGTATATTTACATATTTGTAACTTATTAGAGATATCAATAAACAAGCTTTGCTTCATTTCAACGTATTGTGTTAAATACACCAAGGCCTTATTCACTAAGTTTTTTGAATTTTTCCTTTTGTTGAAGCTTGTATGTTGAAGCTTTATAAGTGAAGCATGTAGGTTGAGGTAGTGCTCCCTTAATTTCCTGAGTAAGGAAAACTTCTCGTTTGGAGACTTGAAAAATCCAAGTCACTGAGTGGTCGTGAGACTTCCGAGTATCAAGGTGCAGTAGCATATGGTAGGAGTCCCCCAAGTCTCCGGTCGAGGGAGTTGACGAATAAGGCATTTCCTTTCTAAGTGGTAGCCCAAAACTCCTTCTTCATATATATTTGTTATGAAAGTTGTTAGGCCCAAAGAAGAGGAGGCCTTGGCAATTTTTTTTTTCGAATTTTATTTTTATTTTTTATTTTTTCTAATTTTCAAATTTTCGAATTTTCGAATTTTCAAATTTTCGAATTTTCGAATTTTTGAATTTTCGAATTTCCGAAAAAAAAAATATATATATTTTTTAAAGCTTTGTAGGTGAAGCTTTGGTGTTGAAGCTTTGGAGTTGAAGCTTTTGTTGGGTACCATGAATTGATTTGCTTCACACTATCTTGATCAAGATAGTGTGAAGCTTTTGAGAATTTGTAGTTGTCCTCCATTGATGAAGCTTTTGTTGGTGAAGCTTTTGGAGTTTGAAGCTTTTTGGTGAAGCTTTATGGGTGAAGCTTTGTGTTGAAGCTTTTGTAGGTGAAGCTTTGGAGTTGAAGCTTTGTAGGTGAAGCTTTGGAGTTGAAGCTTTGGAGTTGAAGTTTTTGTTGGGTA